TAAAAAACCTTCTTTTAAGAAAACCCAAATAGTTAGAGCTTAGATATTTGGCATGACACTTCTTCAAGAGTGTCTACCAAGTTTGTTGAAATAAAAGCCCAGGTGGTCATTGATTTTGTTAAATGTGTATAGTAAAACTTTTAAAAAACCCAGTGAGCCAAAGCTTACATATTTATGATGAAACACTTTTAAGCGAATGTGTACCAAGTTTGTTTAGATAAAAGCCCTGGTGTCAAAATTGGCCCCACTCAAGGGGGTTATTGATTGTCCTTATATGTATGTAGTAAAAACTTTAAAATATTTTCTTTTAAAAATCCCAAAGAATTTAAATATTCAGCATGAAACATCTTCCAGTGAGTGTAAGTCAAATTAGTTCAAGTAAAAGCCCTGGGGTCAAAATTTGCCCCACCTTGGGGGTCATTGATTTTCCTGATATGTACACATTTTATGAACTGTTGTTTGCCCTAAACAATTGCAATCAGTAAAGTTTTTACACATGCACAATTTCAGGTACACACTTTGTGATTTCAGTTAAATATTTACATTATATATATGTTTTGTTTATTGTTTACAATATTACTTGTTCCTTGTCATTAAGATTTTTGTGCCCCCCCTATAGGGGGGGGGTGGCATTTAGATTTACACTTGTCCTTCCGTCCGTCTGTCTGTCCGTTCCCTTTTTGTGTCTCACGTAGATCAAAAAGTAATTGACATAGAGTCATGAAACCACATAAAAATGTTGATCAGCATGTGAAGTTGTGCACCTGGGTATTTTATATGGATATATTTAGTTTTTTTAGAGTTATTACCTTTGAATAAGTAAAAATTTGCAATTTTCAACTTGTGTCCAACATAACTCAAAAAATATTTGAGCTGGAGTCATGAAACCTTATAGGAATGTTGATCAGCATGTGAAGTTGAGCACCTGGATATTTTTCGTGTGGATATATTTAGTATTTTTAGAGTTATTGCCCTTGACTTAGTAAAAATTTCCAATTTTCAACTTGTATTGCACGTAACTAAAAAAGTATTTGCCCTAGAGTCATGAAACCTTACAAGAATGTTGCTCAGCATGTGTAGTTGTGCACCTGGGTATTTTCGTATGGATATTTTAGTATTTTTAGAGTTATTGCCCCTGACTTAGTAAAAATTTACAATATTTATCTTGTGTTGCACGTAACTCAAAAAGTTTATGACCTATAGGCCTGAAAGTTTACAAGAATGTTGGTCAGCATGTGTACTTATGCACCTTGGTTTTTTTTGGCTTTATTCAGTATTTGTAGTATTTGCCTTTTATTAATAAAATATTTTTAGTTTTCAACTTGGGCACATGTAGCCAAAAAAGAAATTTGACAAATCAGTTCAGTGTCGGGGCACCCGTGTCCTATGTACAAAATTCTAGTTTATATTCAGGTGAGCAATGTCAGGGTGATCATGGCCCTTTTGTTTCTTAACTGAATACTTCCATGTACCCATTTTAGCATGTTTCCGTAATAAAATTGCCAAAAGTATGAGTCAAGGGCAAGAAAGGGGGGCATATGTGTTGTTCAACATTTTTTTTAAGTTTATATTCAGTACAATAAATTTCAATTACTTTATTTTGGGACAATATTCATTAAATCAAAAAATATATATAAAGAAAACACCCAGTTGTAAGGCTAACTTCCATCCAAGGGCTATGATTTAGACAAACTTGATAGAGGTCCATAAACAAATGTTCCCTTGACTGTTGAGAAAATTTTATTTATTATGCTCCCCGAAAAATTTCGGGGGAGCATATAGTCGTCGGGTTGTCCGTCCGTCCGTCCGTCAGTCCGTACGTACGTCCCGAATTCGTGTCCGGCCCATAACTTTGTTATTTGAAGTCGGATTTTAAAATTATTTCACAGAAATGATTACCATATTGAGATGACGTGTTGCGCGCAACATTTGGGTCGCTACCTTGAAGGTCAAGGTCACAGCATGACCTTGCAGCAAAATCGTGTCCGGTCCATAACTTCATTATTTGAAGTTGGATTTTAAAAATATTTCACAGAAATGATCACCATATTGAGACGACGTGTCGCGCGCAACATTTGGGTCGCTACCTTGAAGGTCAAGGTCACAGCATGACCTTGCAGCAAAATCGTGTCCGGTCCATAACTTCATTATTTGAAGTCGGATTTTAAAAATATTTCACAGAAATGATCACCATATTGAGACGACGTGTCGCGCGCAACATTTGGGTCGCTACCTTGAAGGTCAAGGTCACAGCATGACCTTGCAGCAAAATCGTGTCCGGTCTATAACTTTGTTATTTGAAGTTGGATTTTAAAAATATTTCACAGAAATGATCACCATATTGAGACGACATGTCGCGCGCAACATTTGGGTCGCTACCTTGAAGGTCAAGGTCACAGCATGACCTTGCAGCAAAATCGTGTCCGGTCCATAACTTTGTTATTTGAAGTCGGATTTAAAAAATATTCCACAGAAATGATCACCATATTGAGAAGATGTGTCGCGTGCAACATGTGGGTCGCTTCCTTGAAGGTCAAGGTCACAGCATGACCTTGCAGCAAAATCATGTCCGGCCCATAACTTCCCTATTTGAAGTTAGATTTAAAAAGTATTTCACAGAAATGATCATCATATTAAGATGACGTGTCATGCACAACATTTAAGTCGCTACCTTGAAGGTCAAGGTCACAGCATGACCTTGCAGCAAAATCGTGTCCGGCCCATAACTTCCTTATTTGAAGTCAGATTTTTAAACTAGTTCACAGAAATGATGACCATATTAAAATGGCGTGTCATGCGCAACATTTGGCTCGCTACCTTGAAGGTCAAGGTCACAGCATGACCTTGAAGCAAAATTGTGTCCGGCACATAACTTCATTACTTGAAGTCGGATTTTACAACTATTTCACAGAAATGATCACCACAATGAGACATTGTGTCGCGCGCAACATTAGGGTCGCTACCTTGAAGGTCAAGGTCACGGTATGACCTTGCAGCAAAATCGTGTCCGGCCCATAACTTTGTTACTGGAAGTCGGATTTAACAACTATTTCACAGAGATGATCACCATATTGAATCGACGTGTCGCATGCAACATTTAGGTCACTACGTTGAAGGTCAAGGTCACAGCATGACCTTGCAGCAAAATAATGTCAGGCGCATAACTTTGTTATTTGAAATCGGATTTTACAACTATTTCACAAAAATGATCACCATGATCACAATGTGTCGTGCACAATATTTGGGTTGTTTTTACACTTTGAACTTTGTCTGTGACATAACTCTGACACAACAAGAGGTATACCTTCCTGTGTCCAAAACCTATTCGGGGAGCATCACCCGGTTCAACCGGTTCTTGTCTTTTAATATATGAATATGAAGAATACCCATGAGGTTCACAGCACACTCACTGTGTTCCACACTAAATATCTAAGATCTAGCACATTGCAATTTTGAAGGTCGAGATTTTTCTATAATATATACTCTAGCAGCGTATTTTGTATTGTCATTTAGACAATCTTTGTAGAAGTCCCAAGACAATGTTTCTTGCTCTAGCGCAGGAGTAGATTGTTGACATGTATATAAGGAAAAACCATTAATAAACCGTTAATGAGATCAGTGTTGTGCTTTTGGGAGCTTAAAGTCACATTTAGTCTTTATATTCATTGATATTAAGTATCTATATCTTTGTAGGGCTGCAGCTACATGGTGTCCTCTCTTTATTAAGAAAGACAGCCAACCACTCATCCGCACACAAGATGTTTGGCAGGATTGAGGATGTCACAGCTGAGGAAATTATTGATTTATTCAAGCCATTTTGGTCTTCTAATGAGGCGGAGAAAAGGCTTGAAGAAATTGTAATATATAACTTTAGGAAATTCCTAAAAAGAGTTCAACGTAAGTTTGATTTTTATTTCGCCTGCTACAAAGTAGCAGCTATATGTAGGGATCCCTTCGCCATGGTCTACCATAAATCTTGTCCAGATTATTCTTTGAGTCTGCAAATTATAACTCTACCTTGCTTTAATATTTCCCTTGAGTTAAAACTGCTGGTTTGGAGTATAACTTCAATGATATTTCATTGAAACTAAAAAATGCACAGTTGTAGAAACTAGTGATAAGAAATGCATGTTTTAGGATCCATAACTCTTTAATCATTCCGTTTATAATGTATAGTGCTTATTTAGAGGTTTTCTTTAAAAGTATGGAAGGAATTTGATAAAAAATTTGAAACAGTTACAGATACTTGCAGTTACAGAGATATTTTTGTACATTGCTTGATTATTTAATTATCTCCCTTTATAATACTGAAAAAAAATTAGTAAGATAATGATTGTCCTGAGTATTATTTCTGAATTATCAAAAATATCTCATAGAAACTTTTCACACTAGCTTTGTTGAGATAAGTAAGAAGAAATGCAATGTCAAAGAATCATAACTCTACATTACTTACACTTTAGCTCAAATTATACGAAGTATATGGAGAGCTGTCCTACTTGCCCCGCCGTCAGTGTCCGCGGCCAGATTTCAGATTAAAGTTTTGGTGCAGTAAAATATTTTTCACTATAACTTTGTCATTTCTTAAGGTATCAACTTCAAACTTCAAATATATGTTCCTTATCTTCAACCACATCTTATGTGACAAGGTTCATAACTTGCACCAATATATTCAGGTTTATCTCCCTTTGAACTTAAAATTATCCTTAAAAAATATTATGTGTTACTGTTACTTCTTTATTTCTTAAGGGATCAACTTCATACTTCAAATATATGTACCTTATTATTAACCACATCTTATGTGACAAGGTTCATAACTCAATACCAATATTGCAAGAATTACATGTATCTCCCCATAAACTTAAATTTTGTACTTGAAAAATGTTATCTTTTACTATAATTTTTTAGTTTTAAAGGTTATAATCTACCTAAAACTTCAAATACTTATTCCTTATCATCAATTACATTTTTTGTGACAAGGTTATTTACTCTTGAAGCAATATTCACAAATTCATCGCTCTTTGAACTTACGATTTTCTTTCCTTTTAAATTATTTACTTTTTAAGGTATTTACTTCAAACTTCAAATATATATTTCTTATCATTACACACATGTTGTGTGACAAGGTTCATAACTCTAGCATGCCTATTTCCAGAATTATTCCCCTTGATCTTGGAATTTATATTAACAATGTTATTTTTTTAATATAAGTTAATACATAATTATACATAATTGATTTTTATTTCATAGTTTTGTCTTCTTTACTGTGTCCAGTATTTTATTAGTCGAGCTTCGCTGTCTCCTGTGACAGGTCTTGTTTATTATCTCCTTTTACAATACTTAAAATGTTTAATAATGCTTTTCCAAAATATAACTTCTATTTAACATTGATTTAACTTAAAATGTTTTTTATTTCACTGGAATATCTTTGCTTCTCATACAGTCATTTCTTACTAACTAAATGCATTGACAAATACAGAAGTCAAGGGAGCATTAATAACCTTCAGCATTATTCTTGTCTTTTATTGTTTTCAGGCGGAGATGTGACCACTCAATGGCTGAATTACAACCTACAAGAAAATGATGAGAAGGTTGTCAAGGTCACTACAAGCCACATCCTTCGTGCATTGATAGGGAGTGACAGAGTTCCTCGCAATATTGGAAGTGCGTTAATAGAATTTGACCACAAGTCAGAAAACCTTTCAACTGCAAACACATGTGGACCTACATTAGTGTTTTCTCAGACAAGCAGCATTCAAGAGTATAATTCATTGGAGAGGCATATGTTATACATTGTGGTTGGGGCTCCAGGCTTTGGTATAGCCTGAAAGGAGTTTGAAAAGTTCATATGCATGTGTCCATTCATTAGAGAATATTTGATTTTCAGTTTGCTGCTCAATTAAGCAAAGTGTGTACATATTGTACTTTAGGTTTGTTGCTTAGTTAAATTACAGATACGTATTGTTGGAATTTGTGCATTTAATGGACCTATTTTTTGGTAATCATGGTTAAATACATGGTATTTGTTTGCTAGTTGATATGGAGCTTATTTCTTTGTAACATATTAATATATTAAATTTAAACCCAAAGAATGACTGTATGATACTGATTAAATTTAAATAACTTTTATAAAAAAAAATGCAGTTAATTGATCTTTTCAACCTAGATATTTTTGTTCTTATCTTACTTACAGTGTATGTAATATGTAAATATTAGATTGAAAATTCTGAATTATTTGTGAAAAGAAGACTGAGAATGGATGTTCTAAGATATGAATATAAGCATTTTATTCTTGACCATGCTGTCATATTAGTTACAACTTGAACTCTGTTGAGTTGGAAAAAATATCCGTTAGCAAGCTATTTAGGCATTAACAAGTGTTTTGTTATGTTGCAAAAAAGAACATTTTTAACATTACTTAATTAAGCCACTATATATTGTTCATTTACCACTCATTTTCTTGAATAATATAATTTTGTATGTTTATTTGCTTGTTGTCTTTCTTCTACTGTAAACAAAGAAATGCTGTCATTAAACAAGAACTATATTTTCATGATGGTGTGGCTTCTCTATTTATCACTATAGGTAGATGATATGCTATACAAAAATGTGAATAATAAACATGCATTTAAACACAATTACTTTGTATTCATAAGGGACATATGTTTCTTAAATTATTACAGGTTACATGTTTTATACATATTGGGAAATATTTATAACAGAATTTAAGAAGTATGTGCATTTTATTTAACCATTTTAAAACATAATCATTAAATCTATCAACTGTGAAAGTAATAGAAAGAGCATCAAAACACGAGGCTATCTGATTTATACGAGGGGGCGTAGCCCCCGAGTATAAATCAGATTGCCGAGTGTTTTGATGTTCTTTCTCTTTTGTATCATAGTCAAACATGAAAGCACGTTCCCAGATACCACAATATGAAACCCCACAAAAAATTAACTAATGAACGAGCATCTGAATATGATATTTCCATCGCAATCCGTTTCCCTGTCGTCACAAAATGTAAACCCCGGAAAAAATGAACCAATCAATGGGCATGCATATGTATACGATTTAACTCTGTCACATTTTCAACAGAAATGTCCCATTGAAATTTAAGGTAGAACCATCCTTATGCATTACCTCTACATTGAGGAATATCTCAAAGCATGTTTAGCTCTCCATTTTTTTACATGTCAGTTGCCACCTCAAAAGCTTTAAAGTTGATCATAACTTTTTGAGATCATAGTGTGTTGTCTTCATACGGCCACAACAACCCTTGAGACAAGACATTCAAGAAGACCAGACCAAATTTGATCTTCATTCATAAATAACCTTGACCTTCCATGTTGAATTTGCTGATATTTTCTGTCATTGTCTATAACTTTGTTATTTATGAATTGATTGTCTTCAAACTTTTATAGGATAGACCTTCAAGAAAACTAGACAAACTTTGACCTTCACTCATAATTGACCTTGAAGGTCAGAATATTGAAATTTGCATTATTTTTGCTTTTAATGGCTATAATTTTGTTGTTAATGAATGGATTGACATCATATTAAGATAAACATTCAGTAGGATAAAGGATAAGACTTTTATGCATAATAAACTTAAATTGATCTTTGCTCTTCAATAACCTTGACCTTGAAGGTCAAATAATTGAATTTTCACTGATGTTTGCTATAATTGACTTCAACTTTGTAGTTATGAATGAAATGTTGTCTTCAGGCTTGGAGAAAATCACCTAATGTGGACTGACATTAACCTAGGCTCATTTATTACCTTGAGCAGCTCAAATTATTAAATTTTTGTTATATTGTCATAATTTCTATTAATTATGTACATTTTTGTTTAATACTTGGACAAAACAAGACTTGCTACTAAATGAATATATTAAATACAGATGTGGCCATGACCTTGACGATTAAGGCCAAGTTACTGAAATTCTTATATTTTTCCTAAAATAATATCATTTGAACCTTGTGCACAGTTAGATGACTTAAAAACTAACCTTTTATAATAAAAAATAAAAACATAATTTCACCTTTGCTTTAATTTCCTTTTTTTACAGATTCCTGTAAACTGTTAATTTTTTGCTTTAAGGAAATTTTTGTCTAGGCTGTTACTCATAAATTATAGAAGCTATTGACTTGAAACTTTATAGGATGATAGATCTTATTGATAAGAAGTGCAGTGCAAAAAACTGCCGCTTTCGCACTTCTTATTTTTTTGCGTTTATAATTGCCCTTTATTAATTTTCATATTTCATTTTTGTCCTGGCCACTTCTCTTGAACTATATTGTTCCGCGGCGACACATCCGACTCGCGGAGTTCTGGTTTTAAGTTGCAGCAATAACATTGCCATGACCAGGTGTACGGTTTTGTAAACAAATATTAATGCTGTGCTTGGATTCTTTTATTTGACCTATTTTTACCGTTCTTATTTTTGAATTCTCTGATAAGAAATTTCGAGCATGTGTACAGCTTGAAAACATATATCAATATTGACATAGCCAGGTGACCTTTTGACTTACTTTCTTATTTTTGAAGCTACAGTTTTGAAATTTGAATCATATGTACAGCTTTAAGAACAAATATCAAGCTATATTGATACACATGTAAAATACTTTTACTCATGTGAGAGATTTAGGGCCATCATGGCCCTCTGGTTTAAATTGTTTTCATCTGTCAGTATTAGTAATGTTCTTTTGATGTTTATAAACAAAATACAATTTGGCGATTCAAAATTTGTTGTTTATTACTAGGCTTGTTGTGTTGCCTGCTACCAGGAGCAGTCTTCCAGTGTTATTGAAAGATAGTATTTGAAAACGATGCACATGTTTTGGTCGATGCGCCGTGTTGTAGATGATAGGGTGTTTACTTGAGATCATGGTCCCAGGGTCTTTCGTTACCTTTCATTAAGCACATTGGACCACTGGATCCTTGATATACAACATGTACAAATAAAGTGAAATAAAACACAGGGGGAGATTTTTTATGGTTGATCTTAATCAGGTGATGGGGACAGAAGACAAATCACGTTTGCATATTTAATATCTCCCAATTAAGCTTTGTAAGTGCACTACCAAATCCATACATACATGTCCATGGCAGTGACTATGTATCCATTTACTGAAAATAGTTTGTCAACCATTGAAGAAGGTCTTTTGCATCATCTACTGTTTCAGGGGACATTTTTCCGATGGTTTCCAGCAACCCAAATAGGGTAGTTTGCAGGGGCTCTTCACAGCCAGTTAGGGGCGGTGTTTTGCAAAAGGAGCGTAAGGTGACTACATCTGCCTTTTCTACTGGAAACACATAGTCTCTTGTGCCTTCAAATGGGAAAAGAAAAAGTAAAACGACTGAATAACGTATTATTTTAAGGATATATAGATTAATAATTCAAATTATTTTTAAGGTTATAGGTTGAGAATGCAAATCAAATATTTACCAATAGAAGTGTTGAAAATATATATTTTTACATATTGGATCTTTATCACCGATTCGTCTTATATACTTTACAATTTTGAATAATTAATCATTATGAATTTCACAAAAATACTGAGTGCGTATTGTCTTGAATAATGATATTTAAAATAATATCAACCACATTTGGTCAGGAACGAGTTTCTCCACCACCGAATCCCGCACCCAAGGTTATATATATATACAGTCCGTTACGTAATTTATGTAAAAGTGGAACTAGAATGCTTTCTTTTGAAAGGTAGTTTACCATAAAGTTGAACATGTATGGCAGTGAAGACGCTCCTGATAATAATAATGAGCATACCATATAAGTCCGGATGGTGGTAAAGGATTTCTGGCCTGCCATGGATTTCGTCTCCGTTCTGACGTCTGATTGGATGGTCATTCCATTCTTGTCGGACCGTATCCAGCTCGTGTTGAATTATTTGTGTGAAGCAAAATCTGACACATTCTCTGAAAACACATACACACATAATCACAGAAATGTACATCATACCGTACTCCATAAAAAATACACCAAGACATTAATCACACGTCTGGTAAACTGCTATTACTGAAGATACGTTTCTCTCAACCCCACTGTTTCTCTTGTGCTTATCAATGAGTTTTTGAGATATAGAGAATCTCGAAAATAACCAGATTTATATGAGACGTAATTCCTTTTTCGGAAATGATGATCGTTTCGACTGCCAAAGCAGACAGTTTTATAACAACCCCTCTCCCGTCTATATTCTACATACTTGCTTTAACAAACCCACTTAATTCAATGTATACAATGTAAATAGTGTAACATTTTACACTTAATATGTCAGTTTACAACAATTGAGTAACTCACATGTGAAGGTAATTTGCGGTAGAAAATATCCCTCTGCTTTCCAAGTCTCCAAGAATGTCTTGCCATGCTACAATGCACATCTCATGAAGTCTCCTCCACCAACACTCTATCCTCTGTGAAAAGATCATTGTTAAGAATTTGCTAGAAAATGCAAATGGGCACAATGTTTTTCTGCAAACAATGAGCGCTATCGTCAAAGGTGATTATTACTCCCGCAACACCACATGTACAAATTAGTGATAACTCTTAACTTGTTATGTTAGATTTTGAAGTCGTAAAAAGAGTAGATCATGGTTCGAAATATTATTTACATTTGTAACAAGTTACAAATATGAACAATAGTAAAATACATAATGCAGTCTACTGCTAGCAAACAATGATTCAGTGAGTCTGTTTCGAACCTGGTTGGAAGGTGAACTACCAATTACTACACTTTTCTCGCCTGCCATTTCATCCCCATGGAACCAACGGAAGGACTTCTGCATGTTAGCTACCACTCCATTTTCGCTGCCTGCATCCATTCTTATGCATCTCGGCGCTCCTGATGTAAAAAATCCAATTATATTGATGTAATACACCTATGTACTGATATGCAATGTATCTTTTTCGCCTTTCAATATCGGAAAATTTCCGATATTTGTTAAGCCAGCATATAAACTTTAAGAAAGTTTTCCTATGATTGTAAGTACCATTTGTTCAAGCCATAACAAAGCCAAAATGGCTTCCAACATTAAGATACATTGAAACGTAGCATGAACAATGAGAGTAAAATTTTATCTTCCTAGAAAAACACTTCTCTATTATTAACTTTCCAAATCCACATATTTCAGTTCCAGCGTAACAGCATCATGCTTTTGAGAATGAATGTCATATAGGACAGTAAATTCTCATTTTCATATTTACTATATATTTTGGAGACTGAAAATGGCATTGTCTAAAGCTCAATCTAATTTATAATAAATCGTCCATGTTTTGACAAAAATAGACTTTCTTTTTATGGGGCCCTTTATCAGACGATTTGTAAGTCAATGCGTGCCACTGTGCGTTCAATGAAAGTCACGTTGTCAGGCAGTTAAAGCTGCACTCTCACAGATTTACAGTTTTGACAATTTCAATTGATGAGTTTGGAATGGGACAAATTTGGAGTATGCGTCTTAAAACCATGATGTAAGACTGTTGACTAAAACAGATAGCAGTCTTTAATATTAGCGTTCGAAAATTGATGTTTTATGGCTAAAGGCGTGACAAACGCTTTGAGAAAAATGAAATTTAGGCAATTTATATCTGTTTTCTGTGAGTTATCTTATATGATGTCAGAAATGTCTTAATATATACAGTATTTGACTACAATGCTAACAATGAATTAATACCTTCTGCTTCCGTTACAAACTCTAGAAAATATGATGCCACAACCTTAGGGTCATTATTTGTTCTATTAACTTTTAACCATAAAACTCTCCGTGAGTACCTGAAAGGACAGAACAAGTATATGTTTGTATTAAATACACAATAATAATAATAATAGATGATGATAAAAAAAAAATATAAAAATAACCTTATTATTTAAAAAGCTTTCCTTTTTGTTGTTAAAATTTCCGCCTTATTTCGGAGATGTACGTAATTGTCGGACGTCCACGGCACAACTTCAAGCCTTGGCGATGACGTCGTTGAAATTGCTCCGTGAATGCTCGTAGTTAAACGAACTTCTTCCGAAATAAGGCGGATTCTTAGGTCTTTACAGGTTAGAAAGTAGTATTTGGTTGTCGGTAGTCGGACATTCCAACTACTTGCTCGTGTTAATCGGCAGCTGAATATTTCAATTTCTTTCAGTTTCGTAGCTAGATAGTTAAATATCCATTAATGAAAAAAAACCAAGTGTTCTTATACAACAGGCCACAATTTCCTGAAACTTCTTTAGTCCCTTATAACAGGATTACGCTAAGCTCACTTTTTTGTTTTTCAATAATTTTAGAAATAATTATTCACTTCTTATTTTATACTATTTTTTATACTTTAGATATGAATTATCTTTATGATAAACACAATAAACCATTTTTTATTAATCAAAATATAATTGAAGTATGTATTTTGGCTCATTGGAAAACACTACTTAAGCCATTTAAGTTTAAGAAGTTTATAGAAATTGGGGCCAGACCTACCAAACATCGAATTAAGTCAAAGAACCCACCCATCTATGGCACCATGTATTGCCAGCCCATAGCTCTTTATCTTGTCATACCCGTCCAAGTGAACTAAAATGTTTGGACCTTTGTTGCGATATATTCTTCTAATGAGTTTATGTCGACTTCTGGCTTCAACTCCCTCTGGATCTAACAGCTTCAGTTGCTGCCGGACCATGTTTCTAAAAGGCAAAACAATTGAGTCTTGTATGTTCCGTCGTGATCAACTAGCTGCCATATGTTCAATCGGAACGGTGAGGAATTAGCTATTTTTGCAGATAACAAATCAGGCATTGATGTTAAAGGAAATAATTAAATTGCATGCGAGACATTCGTTTAAATGGACAATGGTGGACAACGTGGATTTTTTAATGCTCACCGTGAGTTCTCTTTGAACATGAGAACATAAATAAGTAAAGTACATTCCGAGCAAACAAACAAAAGTAGGTACAATTTCGAACGACGTGGGATTCTGGTCATGACGTGGCCGGCCAAGAACACTAGACGATGTGACGTTGAAATCCTAACGTCCGTGTGACGTGAATTTACGACGTTATCTCGACACGTGGAACTCGGCGGGTGGCTGGCTAAATAAAATCTTCATCTGATATTTATGTAAATATCCCCTTACTCTTAATATGTGGATTTATTAATTAATGCTTTTAAACCGATCGGAAAATATAATTATTTCTTCTTGAACATATGTATTACCTCCCTTGAGTTTGATTTACTTGGTAACAAAATTATATATATCACTCTCGTTGGCACGGTGTTACGCGAGGGTTTTTTGGGGGAACCGGAGTACCCGGAGGAACCCAATTTGTCCGGCTTGGTGACCACAAATCAAACTTACAAGCGCCCAGGCCAGAAATAGAACCCCGGTCGTCTTGTAGATTTATAAGCGAGTGCACTAACCGACAACCCTTAAATAACGTCTTTGCCTCTACGTTTTTTAACGTAAAACCACCCAAATCCCACGTCAAGCCCACGTCGGAGTCCTAAGTCGATGTCAAATGTGTGCTGTGTTAGCTAAACTGCGCTAGTCAGTAAAACTCTGTTTTTAAAAGCGTGTTTTTGATTTTAATGATGAACTTGATATAGATATAAACAATATGACATTCTTTATCCTATATTCTACTGAAAGAGCATATAATTCACGCTTTCTGAACACGGTAACTGTACATTGACATATACTTCGTCAATAGGTATAAAATAGGTTGAAAGGTACTTTCATCTTCTTTAATATCAATATTGAACATTTTAAACTGAATTTAACTTCCTTAACACACAATTATACGTACCTTCCCACAGACATTCCGTGTCGAGACCGTAATCTTTGAGTCATGAAACGACAGCCGAGATTGCGCCCGCTGCCGCAGAGTTCACTCTGAATATAAACAGGAATTCATTTGAAGCGTGTTTCACCTATATCAAGTATTTATGTTATGTTTTACAACCACTATGAAGGTTGTACTGGAATACACCCCCCGCCATTCCCCAATATAGATGTATGTATCTGTTGGGATAGTCGTGATATGTAATGAATGTTCCTAGTACACTTGAAGAAAACGATTATCTTTATAACGATTAGACCCAATTTGTTCATAAATTAATATGCAAATAAGACAGTGTTCTGTTTTCTGTTTGTCGTGTAATTTAAGCTCTGTTAAAATCGCAGTGATTTCTGCTGCTCATCACACCGTATTACCGGCGCCAGTGTGATGGCAGATAGCTGAAATGTACCGCTCGGTACAGGTATTGGTATTATTATATTACACAAATACTGTCCATTTCATTGCTATGAAACTATTGTCCATTGACTGGAGATACTATTAGGTAATTTTGGATTCGCTTTTTCCTGTTTTTAGGCTATGTAAAACGAGCCCAAAATTACCTAATAGTATCTCCAGTCAATGGACAATAGTCTCATAGCAATGAAATGGGCCGTATTTGTGAATTATAATAATACCAACCAAATTTATAACCTACCTGTACCGAGCGGTAAATTTCAGCCATCTGCCATCACTACATGGCGCCGGTAATACGGTGTGGTGTGTTCATGTGTTTATCAGCTTGAACCAATTACATTATTTGCCAAACACTCTGCAGATCAGCTGCTTTAAGTTTTGTATGTTGTATACAACTACTAACAACACACGAGAATATCATATTGTATCATGGTCAGAGAGCAGTCTTAATCTGACATTAATTAGTTTTACATATAATTATTCTTTGTACTCTGAAAATTAAAGCAAATGCATGTCTATTATAAAATCATTTGATGCTGAATTTCATAAGACACATATCAACACTGAAATTGGAGCATCGCAAAACAAAATTGATTCTTTTTACAGTTTGCATGTCATATATGTTTATTTATTTTCATTTCAATTCATCAAAATCTAGCAATTTCGTTAAAAATCAGATAAGCATTTGTACCTGAATGGCATTTTGAACCTGTTCAATATCCCACAAGCCTCGTCTCCTTAGATTCATTCTGTGTTTACAAATGTCTCTTCAATTGACGATAGCTGAAAAGGCATACAAAGTGTTTAGTTGATTATCTTGATTTGGCTATAACTAGCAAATGTAGCTATATGAAGATCACCTATTTATACATGTATAGAAGGACCCGTGGTCGAATCTGCATATCACCCTATCGTGAGCATGACAGATGCAGTTCTAAAAGCATAACACTGCCAGACATAGTCGAGTTCATAACCTATGCTCACAGGACAAGCATAATTATGTTATGAGTAGCACATTTTATAATAAATATACCCATTTCATATCACTGATCATCTTGTTCATAACATAACAAGTACGTGTCATGTGGTTAAGTAAATAATGTCAAATTTTAGTTTAACAATTCCCTCACAGTACATACAGTAATCTTAAAAAGTAACCAATAAAAAGATTCAAATTATCTGAAATAAACTAGCTCACCTTATATCTAACTCCATATCCGATTTCAATAACACAAGTATTTCCTTGTAGGCATAGCCTTTCTCAAATTGAGTTTGTATAAACTCGTCCATATTTACTGTTTAAACTACTGTACTTGAAGAATTTCTCTTGTTCACCGGAAGGCGATGATGCGATGATGAAAACACGACAGTACGATGGTGAAAACGCGATAGTACGATGATGAAAACGCGACAGTACGATGGTGAAAACGCGATAGTACGATGATGAAAACGCGATATTACGATGATGAAAACTCGACAGTACGATAATGAAAACGCGATGGTACGATGATGAAAACGCGATAGCACGATGGTGAAAACGCGACAGTACGATGATGAAAACGTGATAGTACGATGATGAAAACGCGATAGTACGATGATGAAAACACGACAGTACGATACTGCGATGATGATAACGCGAAATCACGAAACTACGATGGTGAAAACGCGACAGTACGATGGTGAAAACACGATAGTTTATCGCGTTTTCATCATCGTAGTATCGTACTGTCGCGTTTTCATCATCGTACTATCGCGTTTTCATCATCGTGCTTTCGCGTTTTCACCATCGTAGTTTCGTGATTTCGCGTTTTCACCATCGTACTATCGACTATCGCGTTTTAGATCAACACATTCATAGGCGATGGCCCTAACGGCATTCCGTATTTATCCGGTGAGCAAGAAAGTGTATCTTGGCGAGCTTTAGCGAGCCAAGATTCACTTTCGCAGCGAACCGGATAAACCTTCTCCATTCCGACATCAACCATGTATTTGATTTATCCTGCTTTTTATCATGTTTTTAGAATAATTAAATGGTTTCATTCTTCTTTTTCCACAATAAAATAGCATCTATATGCAGTTTTGTTTTGCTGCTAAACATGTGACGACTGACGTCATCATGTGACGTAATGACTGGAGATAGATAAGTTTATCAGGCAGGGCTTTATCCAGTTGATGATATAGACAGTAGCAGTGACATTTCAATCGCAATTTGATATTTTTGTGATATAATATGAAAAAGGCAAAGCCTCAAAGCGAGCTCGATGTACTTGTATGAAAGCTCATTTTTATTTCAAATGCAGTGACGAGTGCGTGTGACGTCACACGTACTGTGTTAAATATGGCTCCGCCCCTGTCGTGAAATGAATAACGAGTTTTGAAAACGTTGATAAAACTTTGTTTATTTTATTTCATTCTATAATTTTTCAAGCGAAATATAGATTATTTCAAGTGAAATAAATGTAAAACTTAACACGTTTGCGACATTAAAATAGTGTACTTGATTTGTTTGTTTTGTAATGTTATGGATGCAAGTATCAAATCTAAAGATGATGTTTGTTATAGGCCTGTGTGGAGTTCTAATTTAAGTGCTAGTTATAAGCATAAGTTCGATAGCACAGCTGTATCAAATTTATTGGATGAGCTTAAAGAGGTTTGTGAAAATCGTCATTTTGATGTAAATGTTGTTAATCATTTGACCAGTAAAGTGTCTGGTATTTTAACCGATGCAGCTGTAAGTTGTGATCTTATAAAGAAAAATGTTAATCATAGGAAGTCTAAGAAAAACAATAAAATTTGGTTTGATAGTGATTGTAAAAATGCTCGTATTCAATATATGAATTATAAAAACATGTATAGCAGGAACCCTACTGCAGAAAATAAAGATAGTTTAGTTTGTAGTAGCCGACAGTATAAAAAAGAAGTTAAGAAAAAGTTTAGAGCATATCAGAAAAGCATTGTTGATAAAATTAAAGGTTTAAAAAAATAAAGATCCTAGATCTTATTGGAGTCTATTGAACAAATATTCAGGTGATCGGAAGGAAGTTATTAACAGAGTAACAACTGAGGCTTTTTTTGATCATTTTAGTAAATTGAATGAGGTTGACACTCAAGTTGACATTGATGACTTTGATATAACTAATGTCTCGTCAAATAACTCTGATTTCGATAAACCATTTACTGTATTAGAAATACGTAAAGCTATTATTTCACTGAAAAACAATAAAGCATCATCTTCCTTTGATCATGTATTGAATGAATATCTGAAGAATGTACCCGACAGCATGTTTGATGTGTTTTGTTATTTGTTTAATATTATTTTAGATTCTGGAATTTTTCCTGAAGTTTGGAGTAAAGGGATTATTTTACCAATATACAAAAACAAGGGTAACATATACGATCCAGATAATTATAGGGGAATTACTATACTTAGTTGTTTTGGGAAACTTTTCACAAATGTTCTTAACTCTAGACTCAATAATTTTTTAGAAAGTAATAATATTCTCTGTGAAGAACAAGCTGGATTTAGGAAAAAGTATAGCACTACTGATCATATATTTTCTCTGAAAACTTTGATTGATTTATATCTGTCTAAAGGTAAAAAGTTATATTGTTCTTTTATTGATTATAGAAAGGCTTTTGATAGCATAAATAGAACTGCACTTTGGCAGAAATTAATTAGCAATAATGTTGATGGTAAATGTATAAAGATCATTTATAACATGTATTTACAAGCTAAATCTTGTGTTAAAATTAATTCTTTTAGTCATATGTCGGATTTTTTTACAAGTCATACAGGCGTTCGTCAGGGTGAAAATTTATCTCCCATATTGTTTTCTTTATTTTTAAATGATTTAAACTATTTCCTGTCACAACATTTTAATGGTCTGGATCTACTATCAAACATTGTAAATGATACCCTGAGTGATTCTGATGTTGAAATGTATTTTAAATTGTATATTCTTTTATATGCTGATGACACTGTCATATTTGCTGAATCTGCTGAAGAACTGCAAAAAGCACTAGATGCAATGTCAAATTATTGTCAATTATGGCATTTACAAGTTAATCCTAGTAAAACTAAAATTGTTGTTTTTTGTAAAAGTAAAAGAGGTTTATGTAATATTCCAGCCTTTAGTTTTGAAGGTAATTTGCTAGAAATTGTTGATGATTTTTCATATCTGGGTGTTAAGTTCTCTTATAATGGTAAATTTGCTAAAACAAAGAATCATTTATTAGAACAGGCAAGGAAGGCTATGTTTTCAATTATAGTTAAGGCTAGAAAATTGGATTTGCCTATCAGTATGCAAATTCATTTATTTGATAGCATGGTAGCACCTATATTGTTATATGGTAGCGAAGTGTGGGGAATTGAAAATGTGAATATCATTGATAGATTTCAATTAAAATTTTATAAACTCATATTAAATTTGAAACAAAGTACTCCAAATTGTATGCTTTATGGAGATTTAGGGATATTACCTGTATCTATTCATATAAAAAGTAGAGTTTTGTGCTTTTGGAATAAGATTTTAAGTAGCAAACAGGAATCAATAAGCCATATATTGTATGATATGTCACACTCTTTGTATTGTAGAAATGTGTTGAAACTCCCATGGATGAATAGTGTTTGTAAATTACTAGATTCACTGGGTTTATCAAATTTTTGGATTAATAATGTTGCCACTTCTCTTCCATTGTTTAAGAAAATTGTTAAAAATAGACTGAAAGATCAGTTCATTCAAAATTGGCATAGTGAAATGTCACAATCGAGTAAATGTCTGAATTATAGAATGTACAAAAGTGAATTCAGATTTGAAAAGTTTTTAGATATTTTACCATCTCATTTAGCTTTGGTACTATTGCGCTTTAGATGTATGAACCATAAAATGCCTATTGAGTCTGGTAGATTTTGTAATATACCAAGAGAATTAAGAGTGTGTAATTTATGCAGTAATAGCTCACTTGGTGATGAATATCATTATTTATTTAATTGTCAATTCTTTAATACTGATAGAAAAAAATATATTACTAGAGAGTATAGTACTAATGTTAATTCAATCAAGTTTTCTATGTTAATGAATAGCACAGATAGGAGTATATTGTTAAAACTTGCAGTATTCTGTAAAAAAAATTATTTCAGCATTTAAGTAACTGATAACTAAGCTTATTTTCATAATGTAACACTTTCATTTTTGATTTATATTTGCCATGTAATACATCAGCATATTTCGTGGATATCTCTTTATATGTCATAATATATGTATATATTATTGTATATGTGACTGATGCCTCTATGAGGCCCAGCATTTTCAAATAAACTGTTCAAACTGTTCAAACTGCACGTGCTGTTTGGCGCTACATTGTGACGTTACGTAAACAATACTTTAAACGTTTGTACAGCGTTAACGACTGAATAAAAGATATTGGTGTTCGGATTAATTTTCTTAGTTAGACCATTTTCTTACATTCTAGATAGTTTTCACAACAAAATTTGACAAAAAAATTGTTTTTATTTATCTGATTTTTCAAACAAAATGGCGCCTTCGATTTTCATTTTTTATACACAGCTTCCGTTATTCTGGTTACCTGTCCAATTATGGTTCCCATAGACGTGCGCGGTTGACCAGTCTTCACATCCGTTTTCAGTCAGAATTCCTCAGTTTTTACCGTTATCTTTAAATTCGAAAGGTTGCGATGTGTCCAATTTGGTACTTTGGACGAAAGTTTTCAAAACCATCACTTAGCAGGTACTCGCGTTACCGTAAAGCTCGCTTTGCGAGCAGGCCCTTCGGGCCAGCTCGTCGAGCTCGCTATTAACTAAATTTGGAAAGTTCATGACGAAACCATCACTCTTTGTTTAATATAAGACATTTCCATCACATGTTCATCTTTTTTCAGAAATAATAATGTTTGTTGAATTTACATTTTTATTTTACATAAAATATTTTCATAACCATTTCGATGGTCTCACTATAAAATGCCGGACCTACATTTTTTTCGATTTTGCGTTTTTGGAAATTTCCGAAGCTTCAAGAGCTCCCGCTTCTTTTGCCTGACTCATATTGAAGTCAGCCAATCACAACCTTCAAAATTCATCACATGTAGAAAAGCCGAACTTTCATTGGCCAACTCTTTTGAATTAGAAAATACCGTAGCTACATATGATGTAGCTCCGGTGTTGAAATATTGTATATCTAACAAAAAGTGGACAGAAAATTGCAACTTCGGCATTTTATATTCATTTGATACTCGTCTTACATTCGCTTTTCCATGGCATTTCAACATCGAAGCCCATTGAATTAATTGCGAATCGGCATAAAAACTTCAAATATATTAGTTGAATATTCATTAATTAATAAAAACATGTCGCAGGATCTTGTAAACGGTTTTGACTATTCAACATTGAGCTACTCAGGAGATATTGATTCTGAGAATGACATTGAAACAAATAAACTAACCCCTCATTTAATGTGCGGCAAAAAATAGTGGAAGTTGTTAAAAATTAAGATCAATCGCATCTTATCGGCCCTTTCCGTCAGTCTTCGGGTAAGGACCTCGAACACAATAATAAAAAATCACAAATACAATATTTCGGTTTAGCTGACGCTAAGAAACTAAACATTAAAACAGATAGTTATTTAATGACTAGAGTTGTTGGCTTTTTTCAATATATCAAGTTCACCTAAATCATGATGATTTATACACTTAGCAAATAATAAAATACGCTTAAACGTGTCGTAATTAAGACATCATCAGACCTCCAGGACATATTTTGAGTTATCACAAGTACTCCGTAACATTTGAAATATCGGGTCTGGGCTTTATGTTTGCAACTCTCCATTATAAGTAGGTTTACATCTGAAACCACGTTGTAGAACTATCTTCAATCCATATTAACTCCAAGGTTATTATGAAAAATAGATGAGGACGTCCTGATTGTGCTGCCATAACAGCACTTTTAAGGATAATCCTTCATCCCTGTCACTTGTCCGTATTTGATAGCAAAATATCATTTTTTGTACTTGAAAGGCCCTCATTAGGGCTATTAAACATGTAAACATGTTCCTACTATTCAGACCATTTGAAG